CTTCCTTCTTCCTTCTCCTCATTATCCTCCTCCTTCTCCTCCTCCTGTTCCTCCTCCTGTTTCTCCTCCTCTTCCTCCTCCTCCTCCACCACCTGCTCCTTTACCTCCTTTTCCTCCTCCTCCTCCTCCTCATCTTCCCTCTCCTCCCCGTCCTGTGCCCTTCCCGTGCCCTTCCTTCTTCTCCTCCTGCTCCTCCTGCCCATGCTCCTGGTCCCCCTGATCCTCCCCCTCCCCCTCCTCCTCGACCTGCTCTTCATCCTGCTCCTGCCCCGTGCTCTCTCCTCCTGTTCCTGTGCACGCCTCCTCCTCCTGCTGGTCCCTCCTCCCGCCCCGCTGCGAGGCCTCGTATGGCTAACATGTCCACCGCCCGGGGAGCCGACGTCCCAGGACACCAGGATCTATAGTGGATAAGGATCTGCGCGCGGGCAACGAACTCTCGACGCCAGCGTGATTCACAAAGGGGGGGCGAGGGCGGGGAACACAAGGGCTTGCTTTAGGCCTGGCATGTCCCCCTACAGGCAGATCTGGGAGGAAAATTCAAAATCGCAAAACATGCTAAATTTTGAAAAATGGTAGACGCATCGTCCCCAGACTATTTTTGAAACTACGTTTGAATATGATCCTGTAGAGGGACATGCCCGACTTAAGCACATGCGCGCGGGCAAAAAGCTCTCCACGCCAGCGTTCTTCGCCAGGGGGGGCAAGGGCGGGACACACGAGGGCCTGCTGCCCCTCCGAGAGGCCCCAGACCTGGCCGAAACTGGTGCGCTCCCTGGCCGCGCCGACCTCAAAATTCGAACGGATGAACATTCACGGACTCGGACCGCGCCCATTCCATCACCTCCTCCTTCTCCTCCACCTCCTCCCCCTCCTCCCCCTCCTCCTCCCCCTCCCCCCCTCCTCCTCCTCCTCCACCTCCTCCCCTCCTCCCCCTCCTCCCCCTCCTCCCCCTCCTCCTCCTCCTCCTCTCTCCTCCTCTTCCTCCTCCCTCCTCCTCCTCCTCCTCCTCCTCCTCCTCCTCCTCCTCCTCCTCCTCCTCCTCCTCCTCCTCCTCCTCCCTCCTCCTCCCCTCCTCCTCCTCCTCCTCTCTCCTCCTCCTCCTCCCCCTCCTCCTCCCCCTCCTCCCCCCTCCTCCTCCTCCCCTCCTCCCCCCCATCTCCTCCTCCCCTCCTTTCTCCTCCTCCCCCTCCCCCCTCTGCCCTCTCTGCCCCCTCCTGCCCCCCCCCCCAGGGGGCCGTGTATCCATTTCCGCCACCTCCCAGGGTCCAGGAGGATCAGTTTCCCAGGCAGCGGAAATATGCATTAAGTCCTGGCCTCACCAACGCCAGCGCATGCTGCCCCACCCCTCCGGAAAGAAGTGGAGGGCACCTTGACCTTCTCGCGTCCTGCAAGAACACGACAGAAAGCAGCTGATACTGGGCCCTGGACCGACAGAAAACAGCACGGGACGGGGATGCGTGTCTTACTTCCGCCAGCTTCCGCCAACCTTCCACCACCTTCCGCCAAAGAAGTCCTCGATACCTGGAAAGCGAGGCCCTGCTTCAGAGGCCTCCCAGATAGGATCCGAGTAGATGGGGTCGGTGGATCGTGCCGCATCGCCGATGCATCGGCAATGCATCGGCGACGTCGGCGTGGAAAAAGTCGTGCTCCACATCGACCCGCATTGCCGATGCATTGGCGATGCGGTGCGATCCTCCGATCCCATCTACTCTGGCCCCACTTGGGCGGCCTGGATTCTTGGAGCACTCCATCTGGCATGAGAGTGAGGAGGCCTAGTGGAAAAGGGCCCTGGAACCAAGGGCTTTCCCAGGGACTGGATCTGAATCTCTCTGTCGACGGCCAAGTTGCCGGAGCGCACAAGGGGGTAGGGGAGGGGGGACAAGCTTCTTGGAAGGAGGCTGCTTCTCATAGAAGGCGCCGGCCCTACACCTACAGACAAGGCCCGTGCCTTCTTAGATGCAGGGGTGCTTCCAAGAAGCTTTCCCCCCTCCCAGCTAACCTTAGGTCGGGCATGTCATGTCCCCCTCCAGGCGGATTTTGGACGAAAAATAAAGAAGTCCAACAATACTACGAATATGCTCAGGAATTTTCAAAAATCGTCTCCATATTATCTATTGGGATATTCCTCCTGTAGGGGGACAGGCCCGACTCAACGCTACCCCCCCTCTGCGCGTGGCTGGGGAGCGTTCTCTCGACGGCCCGGGGCGCACGGGAAGGGCCCCCAGGGGGGCCGAAGAGGCGGCGAGAGAGCCCTCCAGGCCCCCGTAGTCCGGCAGCAGCCCTAGAGGCCTCCTAGATGGGGTCGGCGCAGATGGGGTCGGAGGATCGCGCCGCATCGCCGATACATCGGCGATGCATCGGCGACGTATCGGCGATGCATCGGCGATGCCCGGGCGATGCTTCGCCGACGTCGGCGATGCATCGGCGACGTCGGCGTGAAGCAAATCGGGCTCCACATCGAGCCGCATCGCCGATGCATCGGCGATGCGGCGCGATCCTTCGACCCCATCTGCTCCGACCCCATCTAGGAGGTCTAGAAGCCCCCCCCTCCTGTTTTGGGTCGTGGCGAGGGCATGGACGAGGGCACAATGTCAGGGCTTGCTGGCCTGCGGATTATAAAACGCATATTATTATCATTATTATTATTATTATTATTAGTATTATTAGTATTATTATTATTAGTATTATTAATATTATTAATAGTATTATTATTGTTATTATTATTATTAATAATAATAATAATAATAATAATAATAATAATAATAATAATAATAATAACAGTCGTAGTAATAATAATAATAAATAAATAAATAAATAAATGAATGAATGAATGAATAAGTAAATAAATGAATAAATAAATAAATAATAATAATAATAATGATAATAATAATAATAATAATAATAGCAATGGCAATCAAAATATGATCTATGCTGGCGAGATCAGTTCCTATCGAAGAACTACCCAGGCCTACCCTCCAACCAGCACCAGCCAACCTCTGGCCAACCCTCCTCGCCAAGCCCTTCGGCTCACCCTGGTCAGGGCATGTGCCCCGTAAGATACAGTGCGGGCGCGGCCGGAAGAAACCCTCGCAAGAAGCCCTACCCAGAGAACCCGTACGCGAGGTGCACCGGAGGGGAAACCTGGAGCACCCTGAACGCAGCAGCTCCTTCAACGGCTGCGGGAAGTCACCGCGCAGCGCGAGGAGCGAAGAAACCCAGGATACCCTGACGAAAAGCAAATGATTTCTTGATGCGCGCCCACACTGTATGGGAAACCCATAGATCGCCAGAAACCCCTGGGGAATCTGGCGACCTGTTCCCAATCAATCGGAATTACGGGAGAAAGATGAACGACTGCCGCCGAAAGTGCCCCTGGCCCAAGGTTGCCCCCAGCTTTTCGCTTCATTCAGGAGCTCCTCGGGCCCCCTGGGCCTCGTGTGAGGGGTGGTCTAGAGGCCGCGGGGGGGCCTCCTCGGAAATCCTGGGGGCGCCGTGGGCCAGGAGCACTTCTGGCGACACCCGACATGCGGGCGCTGGCCGACATTGCGGGCGATCAAATTCGAGCAGGCCAGGTCTCGAAGCATCGGCAGGGAGCTCCTAATTCGAGGTGTGTCTTGCGAGGCGGGGATTTATCCATATCCACCGCCTGGGAACCGACGCCCTGGTGCCCCCGCGGGCGGCGGATATGGACATATCCGGGCCCCCGGAGCCCTATGTACATATATATATATATATATATATATATATCCTCATCCACCGCCTGCCGAGGCCCCCGAAAATTTGTCCTCCAGGCGGTGGTCATGTGTAAACTCCTGCCTCGGATGTCTGCAGCCGCGCGAGCCCCACGGGGGTGCACGGGATACACCCCGCTGTGGACCGGACCCGCGGGGGGGGGTCCGACCGCGAGCCTCTCCGGTCTCGTGCTGCACCCTCGTGGAGCATTCTGCCTGTCCCGTCGCGCCACCGTCCAGGCCGAGTCCGCGTCGGGTCCGGGCCGAGGCGTCGAATCCGCGTCGAACACACGTCGAACACCAGAATTCTAGGGAATCGAACTCTATACACCGACGATTTGTCCTGCCTTGCATTGAAATTTGCACTGGAGAGCGGATCCTGGTGTATACGGGATCTTGGTGTATAAATTCTTCGTTCTTTCCCGGGGAAAACGGGGGAAAAGTATACACCACACCACCCCGACGTCGTCCCCGACCCAGAAAAGTCCTGGGATTGCAAAACCGCCCGCCACTGGTAATGTGTATGCTCCAGTTTCCGAGGAGACACCCACCACAGGAGACACCACAACACCGTGAATCAAAGGTTCGCCAGGCGAACCAGGAACGCAGCACAAGCCGACCTGCAGTGGGCAGACTCATGCTGTGAGCCGTGGCCCGAGCCACAGATCGACAAGGCAGGTGCGACAGGAGGTCGCTCAATTGGAGGCGAAGCAGATGGGCTCGGAGAACCGCGCCGCATCTTAGCCATACAGCGGGCGCTATCCACCCAGTCCCTTCTGCTCCAGCCCCACTTGGGCGGCCTGGAAGGAAAGTACCACCGTTTACAGGACAGACGAGGCCCCCTGAAGCTGCAGCCTGACCCAGTCCTGTTGAACGCGACGTAGTTCAGCAGGGACTCCAAGTTCATCTTCTTCTCCGAGGTGGAGGGGACAGGGGCCGCTGCAGCTTCGCTCTTGCTCTCCTCTTCAGAGGGCAGGGGCAGGAGCAGTAAACGCATGCCACTTCGGCATCCCAGGCCTCCAACGTGTTGAACGTACCCTGGCGAAGATATGATTTTGTGAATACTGCAAAGCAAGTGGGACAAAGGTGGGGTCACGAAACGTGTGAGGGGTGTGCCGACATGGGCGGGGTGACATCATGTGGGCGTTGCCACTGGGGCCTTCGGTGGAGCTCCCTGCGTGGGCGCTGCCACTGGAGCCTTCGGTGGAGTTCCCCGTGAGGCCACGAAACGTGTGAGGGGTGTGTCGAAATGGGGCGTGTCGAAATGGGGGTCCCAGTGGGGCCACGAAACGTGTGAGGGGCGTGTCGGGATGAGCGGGGAGACGCCACGCAGGCGCTGCCTCCAGGGCCTTCGGTGGAGCTCCCTGTTGGGGCCGCGAAGCGTGTGAGGGGCGTGCCGAAATGCGAGAGGTGACGCCATGCGGGCGCTGCCTCTGGGGCTTGCGGTGGGGCTCCCCATGGGGCCACAAAATGTGTCAGGAGCGTGTCGAAATGCGAGTGGTGACGCCGCGCGAGCGCTGTCACTGGGGCTTTCGATGGAGTTCCCTGTGGGGCCACGAAGCGAGCGGGGGGGTCGAAATGGGCGGGGTGACGCCATGCGGGCGCTGCCGCTGAGGCATTCGGTGGAACTCCCTGCGGGGCCACGAAACGTGTGAAGGTGTGCCGAAGGGGGCGGGGTGACGCCACGCAGGCGCTGCCACTGGGGCCTTCGGTGAGGCCCCCTCTTGGGCCCGCAAGGCGTGTGAGGGGTGCGCTGAAATGGGCGGCGTGACGCCGTGCGGGCGCTGTCGCCGGGACCTTTTGTGGAGTTCCCTGTGGGGCCACCAAGCGTGTCAGGGAAGTGCTAGGGACAAAGATGATGCAGATGATGACGACGATGATGACGGTGACAATGAGAATGCGGGAACGGAGGGGGAGGAGGGAGGAGGAGGGAAGGAGTGAGTGAGAAGGACGCGGGGCGCTGTGTCTTCAAAACGACGACACAGCACCACAGCATGGTTGGGGAAAAAACGTCACGGAAGTTGCCACCCCCTCCACACACATCCAAAACCTTAAAAACAATCACGACGGACATGTTTCGCCTTCTTATTGCAACAGTCGGCCGACCAGTTCGCCATGACAGTTCAGGCTCGGGAGGCCTCCCGAGCAGTAGTTCGCGCTCGAATGGCCTCCAACAAGGGCAGCGGAGCGGGGGAGGCTTTAAGGCATTCTGCCGTGCCACCTGCAAGCACACAGTAGCCTCCTCACGCCCAGTCTGCTCTTCAGACTCGGCGCATGATACACGCACATCGCGCTGGGGGTGCCAGCCTCGGCGAAGAGCGCCAGCGCTTGGGCTCCACCCCCTTGTTGCATTGCGGCTGACACTCCAAGGCGAATTGACGCATTTTCTCTTGCGTGTACGACCACGCGCTACGCAGAAGAAACATGGCATCACCTCATCATCTACCTGGGTGCTCGCCGATGTGTGCCAATGCTCGGGGTCATTGGAAATGAGCTCAGCCACTCGCTCGGGCTATAATGTCCCAACCTACTCTCGCCTTGACCATCCGAAAGAATTTCGCGCGCCCCAACAAATACCGAAACTCTGAGATGTTCACGTGTCGGGCCGTGGGAGACACTCGCCCGACACTGTTTCGACACTATTTCGACATTCTTTCGGCACTCTTTCGACACTCTTCTGGGTGCTGGAAAGTATTTCTGGGATGTGGTCCTGAAGTACGATAGGTGCAACTTAACGCTCGGGGAAACCGTGGCAGCCCAACTCGGGTCGTTCCTGGAGCCCCCCCCCACACCCCCCCACCCCCCCCGAAAAAAACACCAGACATCGTGAGCATATATGACCCGAGGGTCACTGATCCTACGAATGCCACGCGGTGGCTAAAACTTTACGCGGCGCGGTGGCCCCTGACGGGTCGCGCGCGGAAAGCACGGCAGCACGGCCGCCGCCAAGTTAGCCACTGTTTCAATGTGTTGCATCAAGTTCTTCAGCTGCTGGGATCTCGGCGGCCTCATCGGCCTCTACGTCCGCGCTCCAAACAGCGTGCCCCATGAGACTCTCGGGCGGCTGAAACAGACGTAAATCCTCCAGCTTCCTGTGAGCAGGCGCGCGAACAGCTGGGGCAAAGTCGGCGTTGCGCACGTGAAGCAACGCGCTTCGCCTGAGACCTCCAACGTCTGCTTCGGATTGACTTGTCACGCGGGGATCTTGTTGTGCAACTTGACTGCGCCCATGCAATCGCTATAGCACGTCCCACTGAGGCCAGGCGCGAAAATCTGCAACCGCGCCAGCTGCTGCTGCTCCGCAGGCTGACTAGTCTGAGGAAAAGAAAACAACACTGCTCCTCCCGCGTCAAACTGTTGAGCACCATTGCACTCGAAAAAAGACCCAGGCGCACGCGGCCCTAGACAGCTCCGAAACGGCATGAGGAACACAGGACCCATCCCCAGCCTGGAATGATCCTGGCGTAATCAAACTCATCCCAAGGAACCACAGTACCACTGTTATCGTAGAAGGCATGAACACCACTCACACTTGGCCAACCCCTAACAGGGGCGCTCCAGTTCGAGGCCCCTACAAAAAAGTGGGTTACCAGCCAGAGTACACTGACGGAAGTTGGCGGGCACGCCAACGCCACCCCTGGCCTTCGCAGCATCGTCGGCCCAGCACTCGCAGAACTCATGCCCCACCGAGTCAGGCCCCTGACACGAAGGGCAAGGGCCCGGGCCAAGACGCCCCGCCTGCGCGGCTCTGTCCTTGGCCCACAGACCGCCACAATAATCAACATGAATTCAACGGCGATTTCCCTCGAGCACTAACCCGATGTTTTTGGGCCGCGGGCCGGCGATCCCACGAGTGGGGCCCGCGCAAAATTTGACCCCGGGCCCCCAGCCATGTTTCCCGGCAAAAACCTCCCACGGCGATCCTGGACCCCTACCTCGAGGGCGCTGCGCGCGCCAGACTGCGCCCCACTCGTTCATCATCAACCAATTCCAGAGGCGACGAGCATAGCCAGACAATCCGCTGGAGGGACAGGCGCACGCGACTAATCCGACCCCTACCTTTCGACCAGCTGCGTCCTTCCCGTTCCACACCCCTCCACATGCCGCGCAGGTCCTCGATCGGAAAAGCGCGCACAGCCGGGTCCGGCGACGGCGCCCCACGCCGCCTGCGCCCAGGCAACAGCAGGGGCCACTGCGCCCATCCACAGAGGATCGCCTACCAGGACAGTTTCGGCACGCGCGGCGACCCCCGCGCGACTCGGGGCCCGAGGAGAGAGGGGCACTCTGCGCGCACTTAAGGTCAGCATCCGTCATGCCAGCGACGGCGCCCCCGAAAGTCGGAGCCGGTTTAGACCCCCGCCGCGTATATCTGTCCGATCCTTCCGCGGCCCCTGGGGGGGGGCCTCTTGTGTCGGACCAAAACACGGCGTCTTCGAACCGTGTCCTCCAGCTCACGCCCCCCCCCCTGCCCTGTCTTCTGCCGTCGGACCCCAGGGGCCAGATCGCAGCCGAGGGGGGGCGACGCGGGCGCCCGCCTGCCCCGCCAAGATGCCGAGGCGTTCCTCAAGGCGACGGGCGATCCCGTAGGAACCGAAGCAAACGTCATCAGTGCATCAGGCACCAGATTGACCCCCAGCTGCTCTGTGAAAGCCCAGCGGAGGTCCGCGGTAGCGCGGCGTCGAGTCTCGACGGCCGCATGCGCCTGCCCGCAGCAGCTGGCCGCGTCGCCATCAACGCGCGACGCCAGGTCGACGCCCAGGAGGCGACGCACGAACCCGATAAAAAGGCCCCATCGCACACGCGCGCGCGCGCGAACATGGCATTGAAACGCGACTCAGCGGGCAGCCCGCCGTCGGAACGCAGCACAGCTAATCTGCGATCCGAGCCTAGCCGCAAAATCCCTGGGCCCTTCCGCAAATTGAAGGTGGCTTCTACGATCGCGGGATCCAGGCCCGCAGCACGGCCGGATGTCGGCTTAATCGACCATCGGGTCCACGCGCACAACAATGCGCTGGCTGGCATTGCGAAGGTTTGCCATCCCCCGCTGGAGCCAGATCCACCCACCCCAGACACAGACGCCACCCTCAAGCTGGGACTTCGGAGGGGTGGGGACAAGGCCCCAGTGGGCAACGAGCTGCAAACCCTTCTTCCCTTTCTTGCGCATGAGGGCACCCAAACGCCGCTCCAACCCCAACTCCATCACGCGCGAGACAGTTTCCCAAGTTTCGTCCAGCACCCCCCGCGCGGCGGCGACATCCCAGGAGTCCGAGATGAGGTTTGCTTTTTCGGCGCCAGCTCTCGGCTCAGCCCAGTCAAGGGGCTCTCGGGCGGGCCCAACGGAGAGGTCCGCGGGAAGCCCCTGGTGACCAGCAGAAAGTGGCCGGCGCAACTTGACAGCCCCTGGCCCGAGCTGGAGCTGAACAGGTCGGCGGGGCGGCTTGGCCCAGGAACCGTCGACCGCCGCGCCCCGCATTGAGTTCCTGACAGCTGCCGAAGCCACGAAGTAATCAATCGCGGCGTTGACCTGCGGCGCGGCGCAGGTCTCAGTCTGCGGCGGAAGAATGAGCGTGGACGCCTTGCGCGGCATCCCGGGGTTCTCTCAGCAGTCAGACCCAAAACTCCAGCCCGCGCCAGGGCGGGCCAAGTGCTTGCCTTCCATCACCTCCCCCCGCCTTCCTGAGGATCTAACCATTCTTGTTGCCGAGTTCCTCCCCAATGTAGAAGCGCGCGCAACCGAGCAAGACAAGCGGCCAGCCTGGGATACCAACCGCGGCAAACATGAGTCTGCGAGGTAGAGCGATGCCACGCGGAATCTGATCAGGCCACCTTAGCCCTACCGCAACACGCGCAAAATGGCAACGCCAGCTGAATAGTGGGCCTGGCCTTACCACACGCAATCGAGGGTGAGCACAGCACGTTCCATCCCAAACTTTTGGCCGCGCTGGCCCAGGCTCCCAAATTTCCATCAGCGACTCCAATCTCCTGGGCAAGCACCGCTAGGGCCGCGGGTTGAAGCTAACCTCTTCTTAAGTGCGCACCAGCTGTTCCCGTTATCACACTCAAATACATGGGTGGCGGCATCGCATTCGATGCAGGGGGCGGATTTAGGCGGACAGCCTACACCATGAGCCGAAACTCTAAATCCCGTGCAGGGCGAAATCAGTGCCGTTCACACCCTATCCGCCTCCACCCAGCTCGGGCCATAGACACCTGTTCAATTAGCATCATCACGTGTGTATTGCGTGGAGCTGCCGGTTGTGCAGTCACAGCCTCTCCACTCAGACCTCCACAGCACCTTCATCAGGGACCATGCTGCACATGGATCCGAGTAGGCGAAGTCCACCAGCCATCGTTCCGACAGGTACGCCTCTTAAAAGCTCTCGGCTGCATCTGGTACAGGTACTGGTGCAACTGCACGCCACCTTGGTCAGAATTACCCCTTAGTCGAGCTCCAACGAGGTCATGCTAAGGTTCCAACTTCTTGGGCCTCTTGACGCTGGCTCTGATGAGAGCAACCAATATTGCCCGCTTATTCGCCCTTGTGTTTCTCTCGAAAAATTACGCGTTGTATCCATGTTCTCGACGGCGTCGTCGAACTCTATGCCCAGGGGTACAGCTGCATCCCGTGCTGCAGCGGCCTCTGCAGGCGCTGTCCCATCAGAACTAGCAGCGGTCGTTGTAGGTGTCGATGTGGATTCGGAATGCGACCTGAAGAGCCCGGCGCCCTCCTTGAAGGCCGCGGACGCAAACATGGTCTTCTTCGCCTCTTTGCCATCAAGAAGCTGTTGCGGAACACCAGAACTGTCGACAGCACGAGAATCACCCAAAGGCAACGAATGTACCAACTAACGCTGAAGCTCATCACAATCAGTTTCGCGGGCGATGCATTTGGCTTTCATCTCTGCTCGTTCTTTCTGCAAGGCCGCGATCTTCTTGTCGAAGCCAGACAACTCGTCAGTGCACTTAGCAAGGCTCGCCTTGGCACGGTTGAGCTTGTGCCCCACGTTATTATGTTGAGTGAAGCCCGACGTTCGGCTCTCGATCTTAGCGCGTACATCTCTGGGCTGCGTATCAAGTAACTTCTTCGCCTCGGCCGCCGAGTCGCCTTTGCAGGCGCACATGGCAGCCTCCAGCTGAAGGGCCTCAGCTCGAAGCGGATCATCACCCACTCCACTCTGATCATCACCTCCTGTGGGCGCTCCCCCACACTGCTGCAGTGCAGGGGGGCTTCGGCTTCGCGGTACTGATGTGCTGCTCCAACTTCTTGGACAACTCGGACAACTGATGCTCCAGCTTGGCCTCACGCCGTGACCCAGGAGCAGGGAGGCGGCGGCGGCCAGCGCCACGAGCATCATCATTTTGACCAAAACGCATTGGCCCGCTGACGCGGTGCCGAGGGGGCGGCGGCGCCACAGCGGCAGCACAGCCTGCAGGCCCAGTTGGACGGGAGCCCGCATTGTCTGCACGCCCAGAAGGGCTGCTTCGGCCCACGGACCACATCCCCTCCTCCATCCATGGATCTGGCCGCACGGAGGTACAATCCAAGGTCTGCTCCACCAGGAGCTCTAAAAAAATGGGCCGAAAAAAGGCCCGGGATCACTGGCGGGGGCGCGCCCCCCCCCCCCCCCCCGAGCATGAAACAGGCTCTCTGTTTAGCCACCGTGAGCCACAATGGCTACGGACGTTGTTTCGCCGCTTGCGGTCTCACTGTCACAAAGTTAACTACCCTGGCGAAGGACCCAACCATAGTCAAATGCAGATGCCACCCCTGGCGAAGGACCCAACCATAGTCAAATGCAGATGCCACAGAACAAGTGGGGCAAAGGTGGGGTCACGAAACGTGTGAGCGGTGTCGAAATGGGCGGAGTGGCGCCATGCGGGCGCTGCCGCTAGAGCCTTCTGTGGAGTTCCCTGTGGGGCCACGGAACGTGCTGGGGCCTTTTGTGGAGCTCCCTGTGGGGCCACAATACGTGGGAGAGGTGTGTCGAAATTCGCAGTGTGATGTCATGCGGGCGCTGCCGCTGGGGCTTTCGGTGGGGCTCCATGTGGAGTCACGAAACGTGCGAGGGGTGTGTTGACATGGGCGGGGTGACGCCATGCGGGCGCTGCAACTGGTCATAGTGCGGGGTCACGAAACGCGTGAGGGGTGTGTCGATATGGGCGGGGTGACGCCATAGTGCTGCCACATAGGCCTTCGGTGGGGCTCCTTGTGAGGCCACGAAACGTGTGAGGGGTGTGCCAAAATTGGCACGGTGACGCCATGCGCGCGCTGCCGCTGGGTCCTTCGGCGGGGCTCCCTGTGGGGTCACGAAACGTGTGAAGGGTGGGCAGGTGACGCCATGCGGGCGCTGCCGCTAGGGCCTTCGGTAACTAGAGCTCCCCGTGGGACCACGAAACGTGTGAGGGTTGTGCCGGGGTGGCGCCATGCGGGCGCTGCCACTGGGGCCTTTTGTGGAGCTCCATGTGGGGCCGCAATACATGTGAGGACTGTGCTGGCATCAGCGCGGCGGCCTAGGGACAAAGATGATGATGATGCTGATAATGGCGATGATGATGACGATGAAGGATGCGGGATAGGAGGGAAGAGGAGGGGGAGGAGGGAATGAGAGGAGGAGACGCGGGGCGCCGCTGATTCAAAACGAGGACCCAACACCACAGGATGGCTGGGAACTGCTCGAGATGAGGAAACGGCCCTGGGGAGAAGGCCGAGACTTTCGGCGACCCCGCAGTTTGTTTATCTTATGTGTATATATGTATACAAGACTGCAGTGGCGCTTCGGGCCATGCACCTTGGTCCTTGAAGATTGGTATGCAGGCGGAAATGGCAGGAAGGTCAAGCGGACAATTTAGCGATAACTCCTTGCTGCCTTTTCTGGCATCGCCATTATGATAATGTTGTTCGTTATCCTTCCTCCATGCTTGCTGTTCCTCATTCTCGCCATACCCTGGGCATTCTCCTCATCCTCCTCAGCTCTTTTTGCGGAGGCTCCTCCTTGGAGAGCCTCTGGGGGCCTCACCAAAGTTCTCAGGCTTTCTTAAAGCCTTCTGGAGGCCTCCTGGGCGTGTTCTGGGGGCCTCTGGGGCTTCCTAAGGCCAACCTGCCTCTAACCGCGGAATCCCTGAACGCCCCGGTCACGATTTGGAATGCTTCGGAGGGTGTCTTGGGGCCATCTTGGGCCGCCATGGGGCTCTCTTAGGGCCATTTTGGAGCCCTGCTGAGCCGTTTTGGGGTTCTCTTGGACTGCCTGGAAAACCTTTCGGATGGTTGTGGGGCGATTTTGGAGCCTCCCAGGCGACTTCGGACGCCCAGAAGACCGCTGTCTTGGAGCGTCGGGAAGCCGAAAAGAGGAGAACCCCAAATTCACCAAAAACCTACATTAAATCAATGATGTTTCCCTCTTGGGGCCTTCTTGGGGTGCTCTTGGAGGCCTCTTGGTACGTTTTGGAGCGATCTTTCGGGGTATGACGGCTTCTTGGAGCACTCTTGTGCTGTCTTGGGGTTCTCTGGAACGTGTCCGATGACCCCCCTGATCGCCCTAGGTGTGCTGCGAAGGCTTGGCAAAACGCCCTGCGAGGCCCTGGGGGCCGCTTCGAGGCCCGTCCGAAGGGTCCCAAAGCCCCAGATCCCGGGAGTCCGGTTTTGGGGGGAGGAGGGGTGACGGGTTTTCCCCCGGCCCGGGCTTGCAAAAATATGGGAAGAGGAATATGTATAGTGATCTCTGGGATTCTGTCCCAGGGAATGTGGCCAGTCTGCCTTGGACAAGTATCCCGACTCCCTTGTCCTCGTCGTTTTCCTTCTCGATCTTCTTCTCGCGCTTCTCGCGCTTCTCGCGCTTCTCGCCCTGCCCTCCGCCTACAGGCAGTAGCCCAAGGGGGATCACTCTCAGGGGGGGCCGTCGTCATCGTCGTCGCCGCCGTCGTCGTCGTCGTCGTCGTCGCTCCCGACGGGGGGGGCCCTTTTCATTTTTCGCCCCCCGCCCCCCCGGGGGCACAACGGCACGGACACCGCTGCTCCCCGCACCTCTCCCGGGGTGCGCTCCGACAGGGAGCCCAAGACGAGCCCCGCCGGGGCGACGAGGGGCCCCCCAGGAGGCCCACGGGGCGAAGGCGGGGGCAGGGCAGAGGGGCAGCGGCGCCGGCACCCTGCCCCCCTCTGCCTGGAGGGAGGCGGCACCCGAAGGGAAGCACCTTCGCGCCTGCCCTCTCGTGGCGAGACGGCTCCGCTGCCGGCGCTCCTTCGGGCCCTCGCCGGGCCCCGTGCGAGCGCGGCGCGCCTGCCCTCCTCTCCGGGCCGCCGAGGCGGGCGAGGGCGGTGGCGAGGAGGCCTCTCCGCTGGCGCCTGCCTCCCGTCGGGGCCACGCTCGGCTTTTATCAGTCGGGGTCCACGCGCTTCCCGTCGGGGCCACGCTCGGTTTTTGATCCGTCGGGGTCCACGCGGACCGCGCCACAGGGGGAGGTGACCCTGCCGCCCCTGCTTCGTGCGCGGCACCTCCCGCTCGGCGAGGAGGGCTCGCGGGGCGCCGGGAAACCTCGGGGCCTGGACGGGCCCCCGTCCGAAGGGCTGCGACCTCCGCCACAGGCGGACTTCTGGAAGAAGCACGAAAAGAGTCACCAAATGTACTCTAACAGAGCCTAAAGATAATCCATAAATCGCCCCCAGCTTCCTTGTTTGTTCTATTGTGGAAGATCCCTCCTGTAGAGGCACATGCCCGACTTGACTCTGGCGAGGGGCAGCGACAGGGGAGGGGGCTGGCTCAGGCGGGGGGGGACGTCGACAAGGCATCGGCGAAGGCATGGCCGACGGAACGGCGACAGGCCTCCGACAGCGCAACCGCACGCTCCTGGGCGGGGTGGCCTATCAGGCCCCGTTCGGCGACGAGTGGGCGATCGAGAGCCGATGCGTTCCACCCTGAGCCTATGCCCCCTCTCACGTTGCCCCTGATTTGGGCCCTCGGCCAGCCCGAGCCTTGTTCGCCGCCTTGCTCGCGGTCGCGGTCGCCCCGGGGCTTCCTCTCGCGGTCCCTGCCGCCGCCGCCGCCGCCGCCGCGCCCGGGGCGAGACCCGTTGACGAAGAGCTCGGGCGCCTGCTCCTGGGACTTCATGCAGAGGTTCGCCAGCGTCTGTGGCTTGTCCTCTGGATCGACGAGCTTTCGCCTCGACAGGATCTTGCCCCGGGAGCAGACGTTCTTCGTTGGCCCGGGGTAGCCGGAGGGACCCTCGTTGCCAGACTGGAACTTGCTCCAGAGGATAAACAAGATGATGGGAAGCACAATGCGTAAGGTCCATTGGGCTGCTTGCCAAAACTCCAT